TACTACATTTAATTCACATTTAAATGAGTTTTAAATTTCTAAAGGTATGGAATCTAAAGGTGGGAATTCAGAAGTCAAGAAGATAGTAGTGATAATTCTAAAAGTTATTCTACAGTCAACTTTAAAGACACAAACAGAGGACCACAGCGGCAAATGAAAAACTTCATCCCCAGCCAAAGCGGAGCTGCCTTCCTCTTACAACCCCAGCCATCTGGCTCATGCTGACCTGTGGTGTCAAACTCAGACTTCTCTACTTTAACTATAATGGATTTCTCAAAGACATCTTCACATACATATGCCACCACCACAAGCTGCTAATATTCCTTACTTACCACCTTCACCCACCGCCCTCTGCTCCCTTCCCTTCCTTGACGGTTCTTTCTCCCTTCAAATAGTCCCCCTCTGCTTTCAACTAATTCTCTCTCTCTCTCTTTCTGTGTGTGTGTGTGTGTCTGTCTGTCTGTCTGTCTTTGGAATCTCTGGAAGCATTTGGAGATCAGATAACAACTTTCAGAGGAACTCGGTTCTCTCCTTCCACCCTGGGCTGGCAGTGAGGGCCTTTCCCTGCTGAGCTGTGCAGGGAATGCACACCTTTAATAAAATCGTCATCCAGGGGTCGTTTGGAAACTCTGACTCATTGGACTATGGTATTTTCCCAATGTTAACACACTAGAAAGACAGTAAGATCGGTATTATCATAAAAATTGTTTCAACCACATGAAAGCCTGACAGCCCTGTGGGACGCACAAGGACGCCTCAATACCTAGATAGCCACTGTGCAGACTCATTTTAGGGCTTGAGAGAATCACAGTAACCAGCCGGTCTGGCCCAGCACACTCACACATGATTTTGAGATGATTCTACACTTTCCTTGGTACAGAATCTACAACGTGCACATAATTTAAAGGAACAGTATATAGAATTTTTTTTTTGTTTGTTTTTGTTTTTTGTTTTTTGGAGACAGGGTTTCTCTGTGGCTTTGGAGCCTGTCCTGGAACTAGCTCTTGTAGACCAGGCTGGTCTCGAACTCACAGAGATCCACCTGCCTCTGCCTCCCAAGTGCTGGGATTAAAGGCGTGCGCCACCACCGCCCGGCGTATATAGAAATTTTTGTTACAGATGTGTGACACCATGTTTTTGTTTTGTTTTTGCAGTTTTGTAACAGAGTCTCTCTACATAGCCCTGGCTTTCCTGGAACTTATCACCATTATGTAGACCAGGCTGGTCTTAAAACTCCCAAGAGCTCCATCTGCCCCTGGCTCCCAAGAGCTGTGATTAAAGGAATGCACCACACTTAACAACAAAAAAAATTAGAAAAATGAAAAAGTTTAAGTACTTAGCCAGATACATTTTTTTTTTTTTTTTTTTGGTTTTTCGAGACAGGGTTTCTCTGTGGTTTTGGAGCCTGTCCTGGGACTAGCTCTTGTAGACCAGGCTGGTCTTGAACTCACAGAGATCCGCCTGCCTCTGCCTCCACCACCGCCCGGCAGATAGCCAGATATATTAAAGTGCTTCATGGATTCCTAACTTTGTACTATGAACTTTTCCTTCCTTCCTGTTATTTCTGGGAGAGAGTCTTACTAATCAGCCCAGGCTGGTCTTGAACTTGCAGTACAACAGTTTTCCTGTCTCAGCCTCATCAGTGCTGGAGGTACAGTTGTGTAACACCATGTCTGGCTTGAGTTTGCTTGATGAGTCACACATCTATCCCTTACGCACGCGCTCTAGGATTTGTTTGAATGTAAATACCAGCATCCAACTTGGCCTCTGAACCAGGGAAGAACAATCCTATAAAGCGTGGGCTGCCGTTTCTTCTGGTAAGGGCTCTGTTCCCTCTGCCCCATTTCCTCACAGTCTCATGTAATCTTAGACAACCTCAAATTTTCTGTTGTTGAGAATGGTGGCCTTGAATTCCTGATCCTCAAGCTTCCAACATGTGACCATGCTTGGCATGATTCCACAACGTAATGATCATCGTAGCACTGTAAAAAGTTGGAATCTCATTTACCATCAATCTGTAATGTTAGTTTGTAATTTGCTAAGAGGATGTCCTCAATCTAAAGCTTAGAAATCTGCAATTCAAACATTCAGTGTCCTGCTCAGAGAGCCAAGGAACACAGACAAGGATGCAGGGAGAGTGATGGGTGCCCTGTGGCCTAGACCAGCCATTCCACAGTTGTACTTGCTACTATATCCTGTATCAGACCTCTGGTCCAGCTCCTTTCATTTCCTACAGGAAAAGGGGATTGGGATCGAGGGATGAACAACCCAGGAACACTGAGAGATGGCAAGAGAGGTCCCCACTCTAAAGTTGATGGGAAGGTGTTTCCTTTGCTGCCTACCAGGTATAGGAATTCTCAGGCAGGAAAACACCCCTCCCACCCTGGTGGGGGCAAGCCAGTGGGTATTTGAAATCACAGGGTGACAAGGAAGAGTTCCTGAGTGGGTACTGGGGTAAAGTGTTTTATATGGCTGTCTTAGTCCCTGTTCTATTGCTGTGAAGACACCATGACCACAGCAACTCAGTGAAAGCATCTAACTGTGGGCTTGTTTCCAATTGCAGAGATGAGGCGCATTATCATTACAGCAGGAAGCATGGTGGCCTGCAGGCAGCTAGTGCTAGAGAAGCAGAGAGTTCGGAGGGCAGAAATCTCAAAGCTCATCTCCCCATTGACACTTACTCCAACAAGGCCACACCTCTTAGTCCTTCTAATCCTTTTCAAATATGCCACTCCCTGGGGACTAAACATTCAAATATATGACCAGGACCATTCTTATTAAAAATACCACAAACGTCTTGTAAAATAAAAAATCTGGTCCAGGTAGTGGTGGTGTATGACTTTAATTCCAGCACTCATGAGGCAGAGGCAGGTAGATCTCTCTGTGAGTTCGAGGCCAGCCTGGTCTACAGAGCGAGTTCCAGGACAGGCCCCAAAGCTACGGAGACACTGTTTTGAGAAATGAACAAAGAAACAAATCAGAAAACAAAACAAAAATAAAAAATTTGGAAGTCACTGTAAAGTTTATAGTCATCTATAAACCCCAACCCTAACCCTATAAACACTTTACCAGCTGAGATTAAGGCATTCCTAGCATTAATTTGAGTATTTTGGGAGTTTTGCATCCGTCTATGCACACATTGTTTGAAGGGAAGCTTAAAACTGGGCACAGGAGGAGGAGTAACAGGACAAAGCTTTCTGCCACGCACTAGTGCATTCTTTCTCCCATCCAAGTACTAACCAGGCCCGACCCTGCTTAGCTGCCCAGATCAGGCCGTTCAGGGTGGTATGGCTGTGGACTAGGGCATTCTTTCTGTTGCTCCCTTCTACCTTTTTTTTTTTTTTAAATATGATGGTTTCAACAATGGATCAATTCCTTAGCTAGGGGAAAACACACACACACACACACACACACACACACACACACCCCAAACTCGAAGTTTACTAAATGAGAAATTAAATATCACCTTTAAAAGAATTACATATAAAATTACATTCTTTTTTAAAAATTATCAAGTTATGAGGGGTGGGCTGGCATATTTTTTTTATTACAGCACTCGGGAGGCAGAGACAGGTGGATCTCTGAGATTGGGGCCAGCCTGGTCTACAGACAGTTCCAGGACAGTCAGGGCTACACAGAGAAACCCTGTCTTGAAACCTCCCCCGTTCAAAAGAAGGAAAAGAAATTATCAAACTTACAAATATCCTGGCAAAGTAAGGATGTTACTCTGAATGTCCCTCCTCTCAAATTTGTTTTGGTTTGTGAGAAAGCATAGCGATGAGGATTAAAATGCCTTAGTTCTAATGTAGTATCATTTCATGCATCACAAATGTTGGTTGTGGACACCTTGGTTTGGGTGGTCAGGGTCTACAGTATACACACTATACAGATAGCGTCATCTAGGAAGGACACAACAGCCTGTTTAGACACGTCCAGATCACCCCGGAGTTCTGCGAGCACCCAATCCACGGCCGACTTTTACTAAAACAACACACCATGAAAAAGAATCGAATCTAGGCTCTCACACTAAGTGGACCAAATGCGTTGTATGATGGTGGTGGGAAGGAATATGCAGACTGGCTGGGAGGGTAGGCCAAAAGCTCGAGCCGACTCCCCGAGGAGTTGGGTGGAAGTTCTCGCAGTAAATGGCCTGTTAGACACAGGGGTTTCGCTCTTCCTGCTCGGCCGCACGAGCTTATTTGCAGGAGAGCCTTTATAATCCACTCCCAGCTAAAAGCAACAAAAGGCCTGCCTCCTACGCAGCTTTTAATTGCGTATGCATTCTGGCCTGCGAACGAACGGTCTAGGGGCTTGCTCCAGTGGGTTGATGGCTAACCCCTCAGCGCGACCCTCCCTGCCGGGACGAGCGGTGCAGGCAAAGAAGGGAGCGGCCGCCCGGGAGGCTGGCCAAGGCGGTGTGGCCCCGCCCAGGAGCCTCTGGCCCCGCCCCGTCTGGGAGGGGGCGGGGGGGGGAAGAGCAGAGCTCCGGCCCCGCCCCAGGGGCCGCCTAGGACGGGGAGCGACGCACACAGGTCCCGCCGCTCGCTCACCCCTCCCTCCCGGAGGCCCCGCGTGCGCGCGCCCCAAGTCCCGCGGCGCCGAACACAATGCCGACGCCTACGCCGCGCGCGCGCGCGCGCCGCCCCGGCCGGCGCCACGGCCCCGGCGCCAGGGGCGGGGGAGGAGGGCGGGGAGGGAGGGAGGGGGAGGGGAGCAGCGCGCGCGAGAGCCGCAGACAGCGCGAGACCCGAGGCCGGAAGCGCGCGTGCGCGCCCCCGCCCGCGAGCGGGAGGCGGAGCCGGAGCAGTAGCGGCAGCAGCTGTAGGAGCCGCTGCAGCTGGGAGACGCGCCAGAGAGGCCGGGCCTGCTCCGGTCCGACCGGATCCCTCCCCTCCCCCTCCCTGTGCCCTCCCCTCCCCCAAACCCACTTCCGCAGCTCGCGGCCTGGCCGCCGAGGCGGCGACGACGACCACAGCGGGAGGCGACGGCGGAGTACGCACCTGACGGGCCCGGCTGGAGGGGCTCCGGCGCGGGACCGCTCGCCGGCCGCCGCCCGCTCCGGACGCCCTTGGCCGCGGCGGGCAGCAGGGACCGGCGACTGGGACCGGAACGCGGAGCGCCCCCTCCCCTTGCGCCCGCCCTCTCGGCTTCCGTCCCCTCCCCCTCTCGCGAAGCCCCGGATGGAGCGGCCGGGACTCGCCGCCGCCTGGCTGCCGGGATGGTTTTGTCAGGCGGCCAGAGCCCCGGCGCCAGGCGCAGTCGCCGCCCCCGCCCCGCGGGTCCCCCCCTCCCCGCCCCCCGCCCCGGCCTCCCCACCCCGGCGCCCCGCGCCCCGCGCTTTCGGGCCCGCCGCCTGCCTTCGCACGGAGCCCCGGGACGGGAGTCATCCGTCGCCTTTGTTGCCACGGCCGCTGCCGGAACCGTTTGCGAGCTCCGGCGGCTCCCGCCCCTCCCTGCGCCTTCCCGGAGCCCGGGCCGGGGGCGGCACGTGGGCCCCGGGACGCGGTGGCGGTGCGCGCTTACCTGTCGCTGGTGCGGCCGCGGTGGGGCGTGAGGGGGAGGCAGAGCCCGGCGGCCTGGCCTAACTGTCCCGGCCGCCGCCTCTGCCCCGCGTTGTTGCTGCTGCTCCTGCTGCTGCTGCTGCCGCCGCGGTCGGTGTCTCCGGCGCGGCGGCTGGCGGCGGCGGCGGGGCTTTTCCTGTCCGGTTACGTTAAGGTCACATGACCGAGAGAGCGGAGCGACTAGTGCAAAGAGGCTGAGAGCGGCTCCCGCCGGGGGGGAGAGGCGGCGAGAGAGCAGTGGCGGCAAGAGCCCCTCCGCCCCCCCAGCCGCTCCCCTCCCCCCCCCCGCCCGCCTCCGCCTCCTGCTGCTCTGCCGCCGCCACCACCGCCGCCGCCTGCAGCTCGGCGCTGCGGCTCCCACCCAGCCTCGGCTCGCGGCTCCAGCCAAAGTTCTGCAAGCCATGTGCAGCCGAGGCGAGGAAACTTCTCCGCAGCGGTCGGCTCGGAGGCTGGCGGCCCGACCCCCTTGTTTACAGAGTGTTTAGGTAGGACCAGTTCTGCGGATGCAGATGGTCATTTCGGGGTGCAGAACGAGATGCATGCCCGTCCTCCTGTCAAGAGATGCTTGACATCTTGTGGCTCTGCCGTTCTACCCGGGCTGCTCCGTCTTAGCCTTTCATCCTAGGATGTGAAGTTGAGTGGGCCGCTTGTCAGTCACCGAGGTGTTGCCATCGTTGGTGGCTGAAAGTCATACTGAAGTAGATGTCGCTGTGTGTCCTGTGCAGCGAGGTCGAGGTGCTTACATAGGCAACTGTGGGCTAAGATGTTTTTAGGATTGAATGGGATGAGTTGCTCATTCCCTTATGTTGAGCTGAAGTTTGTGGCGCTTTGCGGTGGGTGTGTGTGTCTTTGCACTGGATACCACTCTGGCTGATTTTTGGCCTCCGAGAATCTGGTAGAGTGGGCTCAGAGTTGCCAACCTGTTAGATGGAACAGGGAGATCCTGAAGCATGGTAACATGGTGTGGGCGTTGGAATTCCCTGATGAGCATTCGTAAGGTTTTCAGGTTCACATCTTGTCTTCCTATTTTCTAGTTCTTTGTAGGAAGTACAGTTCTATCCCCTTTGAAGGCTCGAGTTACTGGTTTATTTTATATATCTTAGATTTAAAGGTTGGGTCATAAGTAAATGGAGACAGCAGTGTCCAGGTTACAGAAGGTCTTAGAGCGCAGTAACCTGTAAGGACCTTGATGCCAAACTCATTTGATGTTTACCGAGGCAGACCCTTAGCACAATGCCTGGCACATTGGCAGTGTTCATCCTGGAAGTCTTGAGTTTGATTTAGCAATCTGGTTGTATATACAACTACTGATGACTAATTTCTTCTTTGAAGACAAGCATCCGTGTAACTGGTGTGACCCCAGAGTGAATAGTAGACTCAGTGGATACCCGCCTTGAACTTTCTAGACTTTGATCAGCCAGAGGAAAGACTTGTGGAGTGCTTAAACGTTTGCCTCCACAAACAAATTCTGACCCTGACCTAAGTGCTCTAGGGCGGCACTCTGAGGGCCACAGCTTGACTGGTTCATTGGAGTGGCTGGCCTATTTCCTCTTAGTAAGAGACTGAAATGGATCTGGTTTGTTGTGTAGAGAGTCATGATTAAGATCTTTAAATCTTAAATTGTGCTTGTGGAGTTCTCTGTGAAGGTGGACTGATTAAGGAACATCTTGGTGTTTGCTGAGACAGTCTCAAAAGTTATATAGTTTTTGGCTAGCCTGGACCTTGCCACAATCTTCCTCTTCCTATGCAGTGCTAGGATTATAGGGATACACCACATATCACCATCTTTGAGGATCTTGTGTAGTTTTAACAGTATCCTTCCTAAGGCATGTGGTGCTGAGGGCATGCATCCTCATGCCTTCAGGAGCTGCTGCTGTGAATGTGCTGTCTAGAGCATCCTTGTCTCCTTAGAGCCTGGCTGCTTTGCTGCTAGTTCTCAAGGCATGGGCAGGCCGGCTTGACTTCTGCCAAGTGAGCAACTTACTTTGTATTTCAGTCCCCATTATGGGTTGGTAGGTTGACTAAGAGGCTGTGTGGGCTCTGCTTTCTCCCAGCTTGTCTAAGGATGCCTTTGTATGGAAGGGCTGGGGAAACGGCAGCCCTTACACCTTACAGAGAAGGGCCGTGCTGAGGGCACCTATCACATCTCTGGTTGACAGAAAAGCCACACCTGCTTTTTGTTGAATAATAAGTTGTTAGTTTTATTACCAATTGTTTTTGTATTTTGAAAATCACAAATTGGGAGTTCAAAGAAAACAGTGCTAACAATCTGAGTGGATTCATCCCAAAAAGATGAGTAAATGCCCTGTGAAGCCTTGTATTGATGAGAGATTTGGTTTGTCTTCTGTTGAGGGACTTTCACAAAAGTAGGCATTTCTTGTATGTTTTGAAGAAGATAGTTCCAGTGTGACATCGACAGCGAATAAAAAAGATTATAACAGTTCTGAAGTTACCTTTAACCCTCAGTTTCCATGAAAGTTTTGTATGTGCTCAGGTTAATGTGGAATTTCCTTTAAACCTTTGCGAGAAAGTTAGCAGGAAGATCTTGGTCATAAATGTGATCAGAATCCAGTGCTGTCTTTGGCTAGATTTTATGAAGGATGTCCTATTGAGTAACCTTAAATTAGGACAATGGTGTGCTTTTATATGGATTTCAGAGTGTGTATGTGGTATACCATGGCCTCTGGTTCTAAGACATAGTCTTCTGTGTAGCTCTGAATGGCCGGGAACTCACTATATAAACCATACTGGCCTTGAACTCACAGATCCATCTGCCTCTGCCTCCTCCTGAGTGCTAGGATTACAAGGCATGTGACAGCATGCCTGCCTCATACCCTCTTTATATAATGAGCTTAACATAGAAGTAAGAAAAGATGCATTTTAGCAAGTGTGGCACATCCCTGTAATCTCAGCTATCAGACGGTTGAGGCAGCAGCAGGATTGCTGTGAGTTTGAGGCCAGTCAGTTACAGAGTGAGATCCAATCTTAAAACAAATCCTGACAAACCCCACAAACAAAGCAGGTGAAAAACCAATTTATTTCGAAGACTGTCATATTTATTTCGTTGGCTATATCATAGGAGTTTTAAGAAATACTGGTTCGTGGTTGGTTGTTACAGGTCACAGTCCCCAGAGATGAATTCCTTATGCTTCAGTGAGTTGCTGTGGTCAAGGGCATGTAAATCTGTGAGAATTCACTGCGATGCTGATGAATGCCTTCTAAAATACTGTGGGTATAGGCGTGAGGGTGTGTGCTGTAGCCCAAGTGTGGAGGTCAAAGGAATACTTTGGGTCCATCCACGTTTACATTGGGTTATAGGGATCAAACTCAGGTCATTAGATTTGCACAGCAGACTCTGACCTGCTGAGCCACATTTTAAATTGTGTGTGTGGTAGACGCTGGGAACTGAATCGTCCTTTACAAGAGCAGTTTGCACTCTTAACCTCTGAGCCATCTTTCTAGCCCTTTTTGTTATTTTTTTAAAGAAAGATCTCTTGTGCCCAAGCTGGCCGTATTCCCTGGAATTTTGGATTCTTCTGCCTTTATTTTCCCAGTGCCAGAATTAAAGGTGTATGTATCTGTGAAATTGATTGGGCTGTTTTACATTTATTTCATAATGCCAACCAAAATTGGGACCACAGTATGAGGAAACACTGAATTTTTTTTCCTGCTATAATCAACCCCAGCATTAAGACAGTAAGGCATGTATATCTCATTGTTCTGTGGGTTACAGGTATCAGGGAGTAGTGGAACTGAGAGGCTGGGCCAGGGTCATCCAGAAATTCCAGTCACATTCTTGTAGCTACTGGATCTGCTTCCAAGGTGGTTCACTGTTTTGCCAGTAGTTGGTTGCAGCCTCCAGTTCTTTGTTGGATTGCTAAGTGTCCTTATCCCTGGCATGGATGGCTTCCCCCAGAGCCTCCACACACAGACGTGTGTGCTTCCTCCTAGTGGCAGTGCACAGCACAGGTCTAGGCTGACAGGAGGAGGGAAGAAGCTAGCTGTTCCTCCTCCTCAGTCCGCTGCTGAGGAGGATGTAGCTGGCTCAGATCTGTAGCTGGCTCAGTTTAGTGTTTTTCCAGTTCCTAGATGAATTAGGATGGAATCAGAAACCTTGCTAGAGTCAAATCTGAGTAGTTCGTTGATGAAGTCAGTTTTTCTTTTCTGGTAAGGGCATCTGGTTTCTCTGCTCAGCCTTAACTGAGTGAAAAGAGGCTCAAGGAAGGTAAGGGGTTATTCAACCCAAGGCCTGAGTCAGTGTTTGAGAAGTAAAATTTTCTCTGAGCTTTATCATGAATAATCTGTTCGCTGATGAGAAAATTGGTAATTGCTTTTTAATCTTTCTTAAAGAACTTATAGTGTAGATATGTTGTCTAGTCTCCCAATTTGCAGACCTGTGATAATGTTTAGCTTTGTGTGTTTATATAACCTCTGCATAAATAACACATAGTTATTTATGTTTATGTGTGTGTTTGCATGAGTTTATATGTACCACATGGATGTCTGGTGCTTCTGTAGAAAGAGGGCATTTGATTGGGTGCTGGAAACTTGTACCACTGAGCCATCTCCCCCATTTCTGTAGATATTAAAGACTTTTTTTTTTTTTTTGATTTTTTTCGAGACAAGGTTTCTCTGTAGCTTTTGGTTCCTGTCCTGGAACTAGCTCTTGTAGACCAGGCTGGCCTTGAACTCACAGAGATCCGCCTGCCTCTGCCTCCCGAGTGCTGGGATTTAAAGACT